CAGATGCAACACGGGCTGACACACTATGTGTGACCTTTACCCTTCACACCCGTCGCTGCAGTCTGAAGTGGCGCTGCCCCAGATGCCACAAAGGCTGGAACATAGGGTGTCTATCCCTAAAGCTGCAAAATTCTGAATTCCAAATCACATCTGGTCCCAGGGTTTCAGATAAGGCACCATGGTCCTGTCCTACAGACACCGCAGAGTCGCTGTGGGAATTAAATGTGACAATGCCTGCGGGGTTTAGCACACTGCCTGGCATTTTTCATGTGACGAAACTGAGGCACATCTGGATATAACAGCCAGATGTGTGCTCCTGGACAGGATTTTGGACATTTGGGGAACAACTGGGAGGAAATGTGACTATGGCCTGGGCACTGGAGATGAAAGCATACTGTAGGCACGCTGCTTGACCTCTCTGGGCCTCGCCTTCCTCACGTAAGCTGATGATTGAGGCTGGCACACAGTAGGTGCTAAGACACAGCCAAGGAGCTGGTCCAAATGAGCTGGAAGGCAGGAAGGGCGGGCGAAGGGGGCGCCTGCTAGTTTTATTTTTTTTAACAAAAAGCTTTCGCAGGAGAATAAGAATGAAAATGGGGACCTCGAGAGGCAAAGGGATGGGCCCAAGCACACTGGTATGGCAGGGCGGGCCCTACCAACCTGCTGACCTGCAGCCAGCGCCTGACTCAACAGGCTGCCAGCCGTCCATGGGAGCCGGTCTCAGGGAGAAAAAGATCCCCACCGACAGAAAGAACATGGGTGTGACTGTAGCGGCTCCTCTGCTGTGGATCACAACGTCTGCTGCCTGTCTCCCAAAGCGAGACCTCTGCCAGAGCGGGCAAATGTCCTGCGACTTCTGGCTGGTGGGGGGCGGGGGGTGAGTGTTAAACTGGCTGGAGAGGCTGGGAGCCGCTCCAAATGCTGACTTGAGAAACTGCTGTCCTCCAGCAGCCGGAGAGGGCTTGGGGCTACGTCACCGCCTCTTTGGGGAGGAAGCCAGGAGGCTGGAAAGCCAGTTGGCATTCGCTCTGTTTCTCGAACTGCGACCCCGGGGCTCTCCACCTAGGGGCTTTGAACAGACGGGGCTGTGTGCGTCTAACCAGCTCTGTGCACCATTTCTGGGCTCTGAGAGACACCATCTCTCAGCTCAGGACCGTTAAAATGAGCGTTTACTGAGCGCTTACACTGTGCCAGGCACCGTGCCAAGGGTGTTACGTGCATTTTCTCATTCAATCTTAATGAAACTCTATAAGGTGGGTATTACTATTACTTCTATCTTCCCGATGAGGAGCCCACAGCCCCGAGAGTGGACTGGCTTGCCCGAGGTCACGTGGCTAGTGGCTGGCAGAGCCGACTGGGGGCCCAGGCGAGCTCTCAGTGCCGTGAAGTCTGCAGAAATGACCTTAGGTGTCATCTAGTTCAGTGTCCTCAGCCTGGCCGCACATTCGAGTCACCTAGGAGCTTGGACAAACTACCCATGATTGAGTCCCGCCATGATCTGTTAAATCAGAACAGCTGGGGGTGGGGTGAGGCATTCAGGGGTGGTTTCCAGGCGCAGCTGGGAGTGAGAACCACCACGCTAGGCAACGAGAAGGGCGAGGCTACAAATGCAAATCGTGTACAAATGTTATATCAAAGACAGGTGGCCAGGAGTGGGGCCCACTAGGCCCATATGGTGGCCGGTGACAGTGGCTGAGGTGAGAGCCTGGAGGTCAAGGCACACCAGGTGGCTGCTTCAGTGGGGCAAGAGTAACAGGTTGGCTTCTGCTCCAGGAATGACACCTGGTCCCCAGGGAGCGAGGAAGAGGGAGCGTCTCAAGGAGCAGGTAGGTTCTGGGGCCTCAGCCTCTGGACACCCTCCTCTCAGGCCCGCCTCCTGCAGTGTAGAAATGCTGCCAACCAGCCTCATCCCTGAGAAAGCATCTTGCAACCCTGAGTGCTCATTCTAACTATATGGGGAACTTTCAAAAAACACCCAGGCCCAAGCCCCACTCTGACCATGTACATCAGAGTCCGGAGGAAATCAGGAGCCCGAGCGTGGAAAACAGCAAGAATCACAACAAACCTGTGTCCAGGCAGAAAGCACGTAGGGGCTGAGGGCAGGGGCTGGAGTCAGACCATTTGAGTTGGAATCCTGCCTTGGATGCTGATTCGCTGTGTGGCCTTGGATGAGTTACTCAACCTCTCTGAGCTTCAGTTTCCCGATCTGTAAAATGGGACTGAGACTGGCAATTATTCTCCAAGATTGGGGTAGATGAAAAGCGATGACTGAGGGACAGTGCTTAGAACGGTGCCCCACACATGGTAAGCCCTCAGTATTATCATTTTATGCATTATTTGTTTTGAAGGGCAGAGGCAGGCAACCCCCCATCAGTGATGCTAGGGTCATTTTCACATGTTAAGCTGGGGCAGATGTTCCTCCTATCGCCCTCAGATTCCTGGCAGTGACCCCAGGCGGAACCTGGAGAGAGAACCCTGGTGTGGGGGGCAGAGAGACTGTGCTCTAAGGCTGGCTCCTACTCGCCCTCCCCGTGAAGATGCTGGGAAAGAAGCCAGCTGCCCCCTAGTGGTCAAAGGCAGAAGCACAGAGCCATTTTAACCAAATCCTGCACTCCCTGCCCCAGCCCCCCCAAACTTCTCGTCCGGCCTCTTGCAGACCTAGGGCTTCCAGAGCTTCCGGTGGCAACGTGCTAGCTACCAGAGCTTTTGTATGGATTCTGCCATTTCACAGAGCCTTGACTTGCAATATAAAATTCCAACAGGGCCAGCAGGTGCCAGGCACTGGCTACCAGTGCTCGTCTCTTTCCCACCCCGTCAATCCAGTCAATTTTAGAAAGAAAGGAATATTCCATGACCTACAGCAGGTTTGTTTCCATTTCTTAAAAAAGTCTGCGGATTAGTGGGTACTCACGATTTGAGAAGGAAGGAAGCTTAAAATTCCCCTTTTTGGAAAAGTGGGCTGGAGCTCTGCTGAGGGGCTGAGAGCTTGATGTCCCGGCATCCGTCCCTGTCTGGCCAGGGCCATCTGGGCAAACCCCGCCCCATCCCCCGAGACACACAACCAAGTGACCCAAAGCCTTTCTTTCCACTGAGAAAGTGGCTGGAGAAGGGACAGGACAGGAGAGGAAGGTGTGGGCAGCTGGAGACTACCAGGCCCTCCCTCTTCTTTCCCGACACGAGTGAAGCACTGTTTACTCAAGATCTTTTTATTCCCCCTTTGCCATCTTTTCTGCAAACCCCTTGGATTCAGACTGGAAGAAACTGCACATCAACCCTGCCTTTGGCCAACCCTCGGGCTGCAGGGTAGAAGGCAAAGACCACCACCCGGACACCGCCTGAGGGAACCCACAGTCTAGCTGGAGAGAACAGCCTGGGAAGGCTTCCTGGGGGAGGTGAGCAGAGGTGGAAGGAGGGAGAAGGCCCGCTGCTCTGGGAACCAGACCCCTGCATCTCGGATCCAAGCAGCTCTGCCAGGGAATTTGTGGGTCTGTGGGCGCTGCAGGGAGGACAGGAAAGAGGCCCTTGAGTCTCAGAGGACTCCACATGGCCCCACTGCCCGCCGGCTCCAGAGAACGTTGTAGAACACAGACATGGCTTCTGGGCCGCCTGACTCACTCTGGGGACTGGGGGGCATGGCCAGTGGGAAGGGCGTCACAGAGGGGCTGGGGGCCTCCCGGTCAGCGTCAGGAGCTGGGTGCCCACTGGCCGGCACAGAGGACAACTCTAGTGCCCAGGAAGATCGGGAAGGGGCTTCGTGGCGGGGTGGTTTCATCTCAGAGGCCATCCAGGGCTTGCCGGACAGGGGCGTCCAGGGAGGCGGCCGTGTGGACGGAGACACCAGGGGCACCGATGCTGGTTTCCCAGCAGTCAAACCCACAGCTGGTCAGCGCCTGCTTCATGGCCTCCACCTCCGGCCGCTCCAGATCTGTAGGGAGGAAGGGCAGCAGGTCACCCCTGACAACCGTCCACTCCCTTGGAGAATGTTTGTCTCCGCTCACGGCACAGGCCCAGGGGCCGGTCTTCCTGCTGGTATGCCGAGCCTGGCACCCTCCCCGGGAGGGTTGTGGATCCCGAGTCACACGGACCTGGCCTTGGCTCAGCCGTGGGGCCTCAGACAAATGACTTCCCCTCTCTGAGCCTCAGTCTCCTCATCTGGGAAAGGGGATAATAATGAGACCTACCCCTCAAGGGTCACGGTGAGGCTGGCATGGGCTACTGCAGGTGGAGAGCCTGGCACAGCGCCTGGTACACCACACACGCTCAAGAATGTTCTCTCGCCGTCGTCATCGCCGCCTGAACTAGGTCCCCACAGTCACGGTCTCCTGAAGTTAGGACACGGTGACTCCCTGAGGCCTGGGAGTCCCACTGAGGTGGAGGGGGCCTCTGTGGGCCACTGAGGGCTCATAGCAGAGCAAAGGGGAAAAGCAGGACAAGAAAAGGAAGGAGGAGGAGGCCAAGAAGGGGAGACGGAGAGAAAGGAAACCAAAAGGAGCAGTGACTCCCACCCCAGCACAGGGGCTGCTATAGGCCCGTTCCTCATCCTCGGCCCTGCTCTTTCCCCAGAGACTAAGAGGAAAGAGACCGCTTTCTTTTGTAGCAAGGTCAGTCCACATCGTGGCCCCATCAGGAGGTGGCAGCAGGGGATGCAAGGCTGGTAGGGTTGGTGGTGACAATGTCCTGGTTACTTCTCAAGCTCGTGGGGGGCTTGGCAGGTAAGGAAGTGGTGGGAACAAGCCCGGCACCAGCCTCTCTAAATGCATTTTTCCTCCTTGAATCTAGGCAACAATCTTATATAAACTAGACTGTTAGCATCCTTATTTTACCAATGTGGCAACAAAGGCCCAGAGAGGTTAATTCACTTGACCAAGACCATATAGCAGAGCTGAGACTGTTCAGAGGCCTCTTCTTTCTCCCAAGGGAACTGCCCAGGTGGAACCCTGCCCAACCCCTGGGTACCTGGCCTGAGAAGCGTGATGCCACAGCCCCCGCCGCCCGCGCCAGTGAGCTTGCTGTGCAGTCCGTGGGCCATGGTCACCTGGCACAGCCGGTCCAGCGAGGCATGGCCCACACCAAGGGCATTCAGATGGTGCTGGTTCATGTCGATGAGCTCCTGAGGGAGAGAGGTCTCTGTTCCTGCTTGGCCTGCCTGAGGTCGAGGTCCTGTGCCCGCCCTGTCCACGTGACAGCTGCTGGTTTGGGAACGCAAATGGCTCTGACTACCCAGCACACTGTCCCTCTCCACTGATAAAAGAACCTCTCCTTCCTGCAGGACGTCCCACGGGGCTGGGATGGAGCTGGTGGTGAGCACATGTCCCAGGCCTGGCCACAGAAGGCTCCGGCCATGGGGACTGATCAGGCTTGTGACCCCAGCTGGGCCAATGAGATCCCTCCCAGGGTTTACTCTGCCTCTTTCCTTGGAAGCTGCCAAAACTGGTTGACTTCAGAGGTAGGCCGCCAGAGTTATCTTCCCTGCACATGGTCAGAGATTACAGAGAAGATGGAGATTTCACACTAGATCTTTGGCCCCTGGATCCTGCTATGCCTGAAGCTGTCCCCTCTGGTCGTATCAGTTATAAGCCAACAAATTCCTTTTCTGCTAAAGTCTAGTTGAGATGGATTTCTGTCATTTGCAGGAAAAGAAGTCTCAAGTAATATGCCATCCTACAGCTCCCTCAGCTACCAATTTTCAGAATAAGAACAAGTTTGTAGTTCTAACAAGGTCACAAGTGGGGGAAATTGCTAAATGTTTGTTCAGGTTTCTTTGATTATGCATAATAAAATTCCTGCCCTCCTGCAGATCAAACAAGATGCAGGCTGATGAAATAACACAGCTAACAACCCTCACTGCCCAGGCGTTCCCTATTTACATTTCATTTACTCCATCGCGTCTGGCAAATCCCTTCAACATGCTGCTGGCACCCTGCAAGATGCTGAGGCTCTGAGGATGAGCTCCGGTCTGCAGGGAAGTTACAAATGTGGGATCTGGAGGCAGAGGGGCCTGGGTTTGGGTCCCAGCTCTGCCACTTCTTGGTCGTGTGTCTTGGGAAGAGGTCTTTCACTTTGAGCCTCAGTTTCCCCCCTTGTAAAGCAGGGATTGTAAGAGTATCTGCCTCATTGCTGTGAGGATGGAATGAGGTATCTTTCACATGATGTGTGGAATGGGGTAAGTGCTTGGCAAACGTCAGCTGCTGTTAGTACTTTTATGGTTGCATTACTATCATCCCCATTTTTCAAAGGGGAAAACAGGCTCAGAGGAGAAAGTGATTTGCCTAAGGTCACTGAGCTAGTAAAGTACTGAGCTGGCACGGGAAGCCGGGTCTGCCTGATGTGAAGCGTGCATCTACCCCGCCTCTGAGAGCACCCTTGGCATCCCTCCTGCCACCCACTTCTTGCCGTGTGCGGCTTGACAGCATGCAGCTCTGCCCCGGGGTCCTGGGAGCGCCTGTGTGCCATAAGGGTTGCCAATCACAGGGCTGTCTGCCGAGGCCCACCTGGTTCTCCTGCCTGGAGCCGTCGGGCAGGGTCGGGTCTGCCTCCCCCCCGCAGCCCGCCTCACACACCCCAGTACTTTTGACAAACGAGCAGACAGGCGTGATGGCCCGGTGGCAGCCTCGGGTGCCTTTCACCGGCCCCGAGGGCTGGATGGGAGGGAAAACTTCTGGGGGCCTCTCTCTGCGCCTGAGCACCAGGTGTCACGTTGCCAAGGCAGGTTCCAGACACCTGTCACATTCTGATCCAAAATCTGTCAAGGATCAGATGACAGGCTGTGACACAGGAGAACAGCTCGCTGGCTTGAGCGCAGAGCTGTCCGGGAGGCGAACTGCACATCTCAGCGGCTGCCGAAGCCAAAAATATACACGATGTATAATCGACGTGCTGTTCTGAGGCATTCTCCAGGGGCTCAACAGGGTGTATTTTAGGCAGCACTCCATCATTATTAATTTCCTACTCGGGAGGACTGTGTTCCCTTCCTTTCTACGTGAAAGGAATTGAGAATGAGCAGGCAAAGGCTGGGGGAACGAGGGCAAAAGCCCAGAGATGAATTAGATGGAGTCCCTACACCGGGCCTGTAGTAGATACTCATTATAAATTTGTTAGGAATTCCCTGGCGGTCCAGCAGTTAGGACTCGAGGCTTTCACTGTCGTGGCCCAGGTTCAATCCTTGGTCAGGGAACTAAGATCCTGCAAGCTGTGCAACGAGGCCAAAAAAAAATTGTTGACTAAAGGAATAAACAAGTAAGTCAGTGACTCCCTAGCTCAGGGCCACTCACTAGTTGGAAAACCTCAGAGAAAGTCATTCTCTTTAGGTCTTGGTTTTTATATCCGTAAAAGGGTGGCAACTTATCCACTTCACAGGTAGGTTGTTGTAGGACTAAGTGAGGAATCATTTGTGAAGAGACCTGGGAGAGTAGCAGTTCCCACTCATTACAGGGGCTGCAGACTCAAATGCCTACAGTGGGACAGGAAGGCACCAGGCAAAGAGTATAGTGGCTGTGGGTAATACTTAGGGAGTGGTGGGGACTACGGAGAAATGGAGACCCCAGGGCCACTCTCAAGGGGGTCCCCTGGGCACCTCCAGCTGACCGCTGCCACACAGCTATGTCAGCTGGGGCTGCCGGATCTTCTGATTCTTGCAGGGAAGCCAGATGGCTTTTTAATGCAGTCCATTCACTGGGCCAGATGGACCGGGTCTGGGAATGAGCCTGGGCCCTCTGGCTGAGCTGGTGGCTCGTCGGGCATTGTGCTCGTGTGTTACCCACAGGGCCTCACTGCACTCTTAAGACACTCCAGTGAGGCCACGATTCGGACTTGGGCCTGAGGAAATCCAAAGCGTGAGGTCTCAACCTCCACACTAGAATTAGGCACAGGGTGGTGGCTGGAGTATTGACAGTGAGAGAATTTTAGACCATATCTGATCCACAGCATGCAGGTGAGAAACAGTTACTGCATGAATAGATGCACTTAGCAAACATGATGGGAAAGAAGCGGCCAGGGGAGCAATTGCTCCTGGACCTATGGAGGACTGTGTCCTTACATGCATGATCCCAAACCTGGCCCGTCGTACTTAGCACATGCCAGGCATCGCCCTCAGTGCTGTCTGTGTGTTCACTTGATTATTCCGAGTCACCTGGGAAGAGGCTTCAAAAGAAGGCACGCGTGCTCACGGGTGCACACACGGGTGCCCAGGCCCGGACTCTGTGTTTTAGCTCCCAGGGATTCTGAGCGCAGATGGGGAGCCCCTGCCTGGGACAGCGCCATGGGTGAGGGACCCCGATCCTGCAGGCGGGCTCTTACCTCCAGCACGAGGTAGTGCTCTGGGGCCGGGGCCGCCGCCATCTCCCCCAGCAACCGCTCGCACTCCAGGGAAATGGCGTCTATGGAGGTCAGAAGGGGGGCCACGATCTCTGGGAACTGCAGGGAAAGGGATAGAGGGCCCATGAGGCCTGGGGGCTGGCAGACACTGGACAGCTGCTCCAGCACCAGGGCAGGGGGAGGAGGTGTCCCCAGGGCCCACACACACCATCTAAGGAGACCCACTCTCCTTCTGGCCTGGTCCCCGCCTTGTCCAGCCACGCTTGACCCAAGCGGGGGTTCTCACTGCAAAGCCAGCACGTCTAACAATTCCTGTTCTGCCTCCCGGCAGGGGTTTGCACAGACGGCACCTTCCCAGGTCCCCTTCACCCCACCCCCCTCCACTAACCCACGAGGCAGAGGGAGGGCTTGGACACCCAAACGTGAGTGCCGTGGCCCTGCCGGGAACCCGCCCAGGAGTGGAGCCAGCGGCACCTTCAGCAGCCTGCTCCTGACGCCGGCCACCAGGGCCTTGGTGCTGCGAGGGACTTTGGTGTTGGTCAGCAGGATCTTCAGAGCTGGCGGCCTGTGGGGTGAAGAGGGTCCACAGTGAGCCCAGGACAGGGCAGCTGGGTCAGGGCTGGGGGCCTGCCTGTACTCCGCCCCACCCTGACCCAGTGCAGGAAGCAGAGGCCTGGGGAGGCGACGTCAATGGCAGGCTGGAGACAGGTCCAGGGAGCATGCATTCCTGACGCCCACCCTGGGGTGCCCACCACCGCCTACAGCTGCCTCCCTGCTTTGGCCTTTCAGCGGATGGACATTTTCCTTTGGCTTGTGACTCACTCATTCATTCATTCAACCTCGAGCGAACATGCACATGGAGGGCCTGGCATGCATGGAGTTAGAAGTTCAAAGGGCACAAGAAGGGGCTGAGGTTCTGTCCTGTGGGCCACCCCAGGGAACTGGAGAGGAGGGTGCTGGAGATTCAAAAAGAAAAAGCCACAGGACCAGGGATGGGTCATGGAGGGGGCATGGGGAAGAAGGATGCTCCAGTGGGCACAGGAACGCGAGGGGAGGGCAGCCTTATGGGAGAGTCAGGGTCCCAGCGCTCTGAGCCAGTTCTTGCCCTGCCTCGACGGTGCCCAGACCGGTGGCCCTGGTATGATACTAGGTGTGGTTAGAGGAAGTCAGTCACCCCCAGATGGGAGAACGGAGGGCCTGGGGTGGCCACGGTCAGCCGGCTCTCCAGCACGACCCCGTTGTCCTCATCTGCCCTCTGGGCTTTCTAATCTCTCCTAAAGCCACAACCCCAATTGTCCTTGTGGTTGGCTGTCTTTGGGCACTTAAGCCACTCTTTCTTGTCAATCCAACCTGCCTTTCAGAGCACTGCTCCAAGGCCAGGGACAGAGCGTGGAGAATTTGGATGAGCTCTAGCCAGAGATAGCTGGAGACCGACAGGCCCCTGATACGTTTATTCGCTTTTCTTTTCACAGATCAAGATTGTAAAATCCAACAGGGCTGGAAAAGGCTGTCAGAAACCTGCTTGATCTCACCGCCCATAAGCCCATGAAGTTAATATCGATTCTCAGCCTTGGAGACTGGCTTTTTTTTAACTTTACAAACGATGAACGTTCTATTTGGCTTTTCTCTTCCCTTTAAAGACAAGCCATTCCTCAAAAGGGCAGCATTCTGGGAGGTCGCATCTTGATCCTCTCCGCAAACAATGCTTTTATTTTATTTTTTTATTGAGAAGCACCAGGCGTGGTCTGGGGTGCAAGGGCTCCTCTTTAAGCCATTGGCGGGATTAATGTGGAGTCTGGCCTCCTGGCTTCTCAGAGAATCTGCCATCTGCTCACCGCAGCGCCCTGTAACCAGCAGCAAAGGTCAGCCGCTCTGTCACCATCCATCGGGATGGGAGAACTTTGGGTATCACATCTTCATCTTTCTCAGAAAAAGTCCTCTGCAAACGGGCCTGATGCTAGCCCTGCGGGCCCCACAAAACTCAGGGTACTATGACATCCAATGACCACCACCTGGGGCTATGCCCTGTAAGTGATCTGGGCCTGGCTATGTCCTCAGCCTCATCTCATCTCTGCCCTCCCTTGGAGCTCACTCCACTCAGCCACGCTGGCCTCCTGGCTGCTGCTAAGCACGGCAGGAACACTCCTGCCTCAGGGCCTTTGCACGTGCGTCTCCTCCTCCAGGGACCTGCCCCGGCCTCGGCAGCTCTGCTCAAATGCCGCCTGGTTAGAGGCTTCCCTTGATCAGCCTGCCCAACTTCCCCCTTCATTTTCCGGCCCTCACTCTGCTTTATGTGTCCTAAGGCCGTGGGGATGGCCTGCCGTGCCCTTACAGAGACATCTGTCTGTGGGCTGTCCTCCCACAAAGTGGGAGTTCCATGAAGGCGGGACTTTGGGTTCCCTGCTGAGGCCCCAGCGCCCAGTAGTTTTTCAGAGATATTTGTAGACTGGATGAATGAATTTGGTCAGGAAGGAGTGAATAAGCACTTGATAAATACCGTTTCTGATTTCATGCCCAGGATCCCTATTACGTAAATGAGAAGACAGAGGCCTCAGGAGAAGTGACTCACCTAAGGGCCCCCAGCAGGCAAATGGCAGAGCTGGGCTCAAACTTGAGCCTGTGGACCCCAGAGAATCTGCCACCACCCCGCCACCACCACCGGTCACTGTGCACACCTTGGGGCCTCTCCCCACGCCTCCGCATGCCTGGGAAACCCTCCAGCGCTCAGCTCTTAATTCCCCCCAGAGGCCATGCATGTGCCTGGCCACATCTGCATTGATCTTCTGTCCCCAGGGCCCAGTTCAGGGCTTAGGATACAACAGGCTCACAGGGAACAGAGTGAATGACCTGCCCCTGCCCTGAGAAGGACTCCCCAGGTCTGCAGCCTGCCTATGACTGTCATCCCCAGCGGCTTCAGAACCCCGAGGACACCTGTGTGCCGAGGATCACAGCCATGACTGCCTCCTCCAAAAGCCCGTGGGCTGAGGGCAGGCACGGGCCCACAGACCTCTGCATCCCGCCTTCGCTCCTGCTCTCACTGCATGTGGATTCGGTCCACCTGGCAGGGCCAGCTGCCACCTGGGCACGAGGCCGCCCTGCCATCGCTTCCACAAGCAGCCGGAGGAAGCTGTTCCGAGCTCCTAAATGGTTCCGCTCCCTCCTTTGTGTGGAGCAGTGGCTGTCACCCAGAGGCTCTTGCCCTCCAGGGGACAGGTGGCAATGTCTGGAGCTATCTTTGATTGTCACACTGGGAGACAGGGGAGGTGCTATGGGTATCCGGTGGGCAGAGCCCAGGGATGCTACTAAACATCCCACGCTGCACAGGACCACCCCCACTGCAAGGAATTCTCCAGCCCCAAATGTCCGCAGTGCTGAGGCTAAAGAAACGCTGATGTGGGGCCTCAGAAAGGCAGGCTTGGCTCCCAGAAGCTGACAGAGCAGGGGTGGGGAGATGCCAGAGGTGCAGGCAGGAGTCCGCACCATGGCCTGCCAGGTCACTGAGCCTCAAATGGAGCGGCCCAGCTGGCAGAGGCAGAGGGCCAGGACCTGCTGTCCAGCTGCCAAGAAGACCACCCTGGCTGCAGAAGGTGACAGGGAGCCCTGGGACCCTCAGAGTGTGGAAAGGTGCCCTGAGGCGGCAGAGCACCCTGGGACAACCACTGCCCCCCCACAACTTGATGGAGGGCTCAGGGAAGAGCCAGGAGGCATCTGCTCCTGCTGGCCATGAGCTTCACTCCTGCCGCTGACGTTTCCACACTGAGTGCAAACAGAACAAAGGGTGTTGGAATTTAATACGCATGTCTGTAATTCCAAGGCTTCCGGCGGGAAGGCGGAAGGAAATATAAAACAAGCTGAAAGTTGCTAAATGCCCCGTCCACTCGGACTCCCATGCCGTCACTATAGCAACTCCCACGTTGTCTTCTGGTGGCTTGTGTATGTCTGTCCCTAACCGCCCAGAACTATGTCCGAGATTCATCTTTATATCCCTAGGCCCTAATGCAGTGTCATCTGGAACACAGGAAGGTATCACTTCTTGTCTACTGAACAAATGGACGGATGAACAGGTAACTGAACGGATGAACAGGTAACTGAATGAAGGTCTGGGGAAACAGCCACTTCCTGGAAGTGGAATGGCGCAGCCTCGCATGACCTCCCCCTCTGATCTCTCGGCAATTTAAGAGGTAAAGTGGGGAATTCTCTGGCGGTCCGGTGGTTAGGACTCTGCACTCTCGCTGCTGTGGGCCACGGTTCAATCCTCCCTGGTCAGGGAACTAAGATCCCACAAGCCACGCAGCGCAGCCGAAAAAAAAACAGCTAAAGTGGAGAGGAAAGAGCAGGCTTCCTCGCGGCCCACGCCCTGTGGGACCACACAGGGGAGGGGATGCCCAGGGGCACATGCCCCTCACTCCTTCCCAAAGAAATGGGGCTCCCCCCTTCCCTGCCAGACGCGGAAGCTGCAGCTCCCCCAGAATTACCTATTTAAGGATGAAATCTTCCCTTGCTGGTATCGGAGCGCTCCTCCTAAAGAGAAGAAAGAGTGGGTCAGAGTCGTAGGAAAAGCTCCGTACCTGTGCCTCTTGGGAAAGGGGCTGGGTTTGGGGTAGGGGTAGAGTGTCACCGTAACTAGACTCAACCCCATAACTAGGCACCTCAGCTTCAGGCAGCAAAGGCCCAGGAGGGCGCGAAGGCGCTCTGCACCCAGGACTTGGGGTCCCTCCCTTACATGCAGGCATCCAGCTTCCCTCCGATGGGCTGCACGGCGATGGGGTGGAGGTGGGACTACAGCAGGCGTTCTCACCGGAGGGGAGCCCAGCTGGTGTGGTCTGCAGACCCCACAGCAATGGTTCCACAGCTTCACCATCTGGACCCCTGGGGCTGGGGGTCCCACTGAAACCGTAGCTTCCCAGGCCCCGGCCCACCTCCCAAGATTTGGATCCAGGACATGTGAGGCCCTGAGACGTCCCCCGTTCCCCTCCCACCAGGAAAATACCATCTTCCTCAGAATCCACTGATGCTGCTCACCCCAAACCCACAGAGCCTGGGCAGCTACGCTTGTCATAAGAATTTCTAAAGGACTAAAAATAAAGAACACAGGCCCGAGGCAGCACCTACCCCAGGTGCTGACGGCGTTGTCCACTCCGGAGGGGTTCCCATGAATCACCCTCTCCCCCTGGAAGGCCCACTTGTTAATTAGTTCCAAGCTCTCCTCAGTCCACCTGAAGGAGACACAGAGATTTGTCTTTACTGTCCATGGTGGTGAAGAGGGGGCTGGGGGTCACCGAGGGAAGCAGAGGGCAGGGGTCACAGGCTGGGCTTGCTGGAGACCAAAAGGCAAAGGGGCTTGGGCCCCCGAACTCAGAAAGAAGAGAAAAATAAACAATTCTGAACCTCTCCGGCTAAAGAGCACGCCCTAAAGCATGCCTTTTCGCCTGCTACAGCGAAAAGAGCCAAGGCTTTGAGTTCACGGGATCCTGCTTTTTGCCTCTTACGAGCTGAGTGACCCTGGGCCCCTTGCCTGCCCTCTCTGAGCCTCACTCTTCTCTGTAGGATGGTAACTCCTCCCTCCTCACAGGCTCAGCGCAGGGGTGTGGAATGTGGGTCATCTCTGGATCCCTCCCCAGCCCGTGGCCACAGTGCCTCCCCAGAAGGGATGCGGACTCAATGACGGTTTAAGTGAACAGACCCAAAACGTGAGTATCGAACGAGGGCGAGTGCTCAGCCCCACTGCCCCACCTTCTCTCTCAGCTCGTTTCCTTTCTGTCGAGTCCCTGCCCCGTGAAACGGCAGAAGCCACTGGGGCTTGTGTAGCTGAGCTGGGAATCAAGCAGGGAGCTGGGGTGAACCCCATCCCGCCGCTGACTCACTGGGCGTCCCTGAGCAACTGCGTCACCTCCGACCCTCAGTGTTCTCATCTGGGAAATAGGGATAAAAATGTCTACCTCACAGAGAATTTTGTGGGATGGAAAAACACACAGGTGCTTTGTAAAATGCCCAGGGGAGAGTATGTGCTCTGGAAAAAGAGGCCACCTGGGATCACAGCACCTGGAGTCACTCCAAGCCTGGTCCACCCACTCCTTTGCTGTGGAGCCTTGGGCAAGTCAATCACCCCCTCTGAGTCTCTTTCCTCATCTGTCAGATGAGGATTTTAGGGACCTGAGACTCACACGGTGGTTGTGAGGCTATGACTCATAGTGAGTTAACACTGCTCAAAGCTACTGATTACCCAGGGCCAAGCACTGCGCTAAAGGCTTTCTCTAATGGACCATCTGTAATGCTTACAATCACAATAACTCAAAAGGGAAAGTACAATTACCATCCCCTTTCTTACAGCAGAGGACACCGAGATTCAGATCACAGTACCACTCACTGCCTGAGCTCGTTAACTACTGACCTTTTTGGTGCTGACGAGACTCACTCACTTGTCCAATATTTACTGAGCATCTACTATGTACCTGTGACTAAGCCCACACAGACGTGGTCCTTAACTGCTTGCAGCTTGGAGTCTAATACACAGCAGATGTCAGGAAGCCACCAGAACTTAACTACAGCCTCTGGGAAGTGCGATGCCGGCTGGACAGGGCACACCCTGTTCTGAATGGAGGGGCTGAGGGACAAGGTGGGTCAGTGAGGCAAGACATAGCGGGAGAGCAGTCCAGCCCGAGGCTGTGCAGCCCGTGTTACTCCTGGAACTGGACAAGAACTGGCCCTTTCCAGGACCGAAAAGTGAGCGAGCAAGCCAGCAAGGTGGGGAAGGGGTAGCTGAACATAGCCCAGGGCCTGGCCCACTCTGCAAACTCGAGCCTTCCTTCTGACTGGGAAATGCTGGGGGGCAGGGCGGGTGGGTCTGCTCTCTTCACAGCTTCTGAGAAGGAATGATGGGTCTTCAGGGGAGGTGGGAGAACTGGGTGGAAGGAAGCAGCACGAGAAAGACCACACCCCCGTGCACATTGGACACTGGCTCACCCACAGGCGTGTACATGCACGCACGCACACAAAACCACCCATATCCTTTGAAAGGCAGAGCCAGTTGGCCGGCCTGTGGGCAGGTGTCTATTTGGGACACCCAGGGCAACACGGCCTTCACTGCTCTGGGCTAGAAGCAGTGATCAGCACACAGTAATGAGCGGCTGTCTTGAAGCCTCCTTCCTGAGTCACCATCTTATCTCGGGATCAGCACATGTCAAGACTGGAAGCTCCCCCCACCCAAGGGATCATAGATGCTGCCCCTCACTTTCAGATGAGGAAATGGAGCCCCAGAGAGAAGCCAGTTAACCGGCAAACCTGAGATTCCTGGAAACCATTCTGGAGAATAGCTGCCTCACATCCCCCGCAGGTGCAATCATTACGGGCTCATTACCTGCCGAATGCTTCCCACGGCCACCTCCGCGGGCCCCTCCCCCCCAGCCCCGCCCCAGCCTCTCTCCAGCACACGCCCTTCGGAGCAGCCCTGGGGAATTTGGACCGGGAATCACATCAACAGTCCCACACACCTGCTGTGGCCACCGGGACCAAAGCAACCTCCGGGCTTAGCCAGCAGAGCCCCTGACAGCACAGCTGGGCCCACATGGCTGGTACATAAGGCCCCCCAGCGGGAGGGCTCCCCGGACATGGCTGGTACATAAGGCCCCCCAGCGGGAGGGCTCCCCGGAGCCATGAGGGCCCAGGGCAGGTGTCACCAAGAAGCTGCCAGGCTGGATGCTGGGGCCTCATCCCCAACTCCCAGGGCAAACTGCATTGTCTGCGCTAGGGCCGGTTTCTCAAGTTTCCCCAAGTAACAGAAACAGTCCACCGGCAGCCCTGTCTGGACAAGCCTCAGTGACTTACAATAAGCCGCGGAGGAGACACTGCGACCTTGCGGGTCGAGGACCCACGGGAGGGGAGACGCCCTGACCTGACGGACACTCCTATGTTTATTTCTCAGCACGTTACACTGCTTTTCATAACCATTTGGTACCAGCTGGCAACACCCGCCGGGTATCCGTATCGACATTTACAGCCTCACTGAGTGAGGCTCCCAGGGTGGGGTGGGGGGGCAGCAGGCTGGCCAAGGTCCCTCAGCGAGTCGATGGCAGGGGCGGCCCGATGGCTCCTCTGATCCATTGCCCTCTACATCTGGGCTCAGGCTCTTTCTACCAAATCACGGGCACCTGAACCCAAAGGAGGCAAGGAGGGGTGGCGGGTTGGGGGCAAAGAGCTCAGGCTCTGGATTCAGACCGCTGGGTCCAGATCTAGCTCTGCCATCACTAGCTGTGTGGCCGCCCTGTCCCCCAGTGTCCTCAGCTGTAACGTGGCCAAGGGACACCTCTCTCCTCTTGGTGCAGGGTGCGGAGCCCAGGAAGGACAAGGAGCGAGGCAAGGGCCTGATTACCTGCTGGCGGCCTCGCCATCCTTCAGTGGGTTTGGGATCTCCTTGCACGCAGTCAGGAGGGCAGCCGCCAAACACACGGAGTAGGCGGCACTGGAGCCGAGCCCGGCCCCGGTGGGCAGCTCCGACCACACGGCAATGTCCAGGCTGGGCAGGGCTCTGAAACACAGCAGGCAGCAGAGCGTGACTCTCCTGAAGGGCTGTGAGGGGCCAGCGCTGAACTGGCGGCCCAGACCCCGAACTGGACACGGGCAGGGTCTAACTCTTAATTGTCTGGACCAGTTTTCTGACCTCGGGGAGATCTCCCAACCCCAAAGGCACCCCTGTTGGATGGCAGGAACTCATGGCGAATCAGACAACTTGAAAATAGGGAGAGGGTCGTTTAAGTCACTATGTTGTTGTCCAACCAGAGCTCTTCCTAAAAGTGCCTCGCGATCCACCGACCATTCCTGTAAACTCCTTCCTGCTCCCCACACAAGCAAGGCTCTTTCAATGCCCTGCCCTCAGCATAGGCTGGTCCCTCTGCCCAGGACAGCTCTGCACCCCTTTTTCCCCCAGGGGAATTCCTACCCATCCTGCAAGACCGTCCTCAAATGATCCCCCTGGGCGCTGATACTGTGTTCATGGGATGCCTCTCCTGCCGGACAGCGTTTCCCAGCCGCGTGTAACACAGGCCTGCTCTGGATCAGCAGAGAGTTCCCAATCGCTGCGCCTTACCTCTACTTCCCCTCAGCGAGAACCGTCAGACGTCAGGTTCTATCATTTCCATTAAGCACTCTTCCCGTTTTCCAAATATAACATTATAAGACTGAAACTGCCTTTTCAAACTGCACATGCCCACCCCACCCACATCAGATTCTGGAATGTGTCCCCCGCCCTCACCCCAGAAAGGGACACGCCCCTCTCAAGGTGAAAACCCCGGCATTGGACTGCAAGTGTCAAGACGCGATTGAATGCGTCTGCAGCGCAGCGCCCGGGCCCAGTGGCCACTTAGCCAGCGTCTGCTGCACGAGTGAAGGGCTGCGCCCTGAGGCTTTCCCTTCAGGTTCTGGACCACCGCACTGTGTGCCAGTTACAGTGCTAGGCCCATTTCATGTATAATGTTTCTAATCCTCTGATAGTTTTTCTGAGGAAGGTGATAATGATAATAGCTAACATTTATCAAGCTACGTGCCAGGCTCTGAATCAAACACTTTAAGTAAATGAACTCATTTAACTTCACAGGAACCCTACGAGGTAGGTGCTATTACCACCCCCATCTTACAGATGAGGAAACTGAGGCTCAGGAAGGGTAAGAACCTCACAAAAGCTAGTAAATTGTCGCGCTGGGGTGTGAACCAACACCGTCTGACCCTCAGCCCGTGCCCTCTGTCACCATGTGATACCACCTCAGCAGGAATGTCCCCCTCTAGGAGCCGGCTTTCCCGAGAGAGGAGACAACCCAGATCTTATCATAACACAGGCTTCACTCTGCTAATCACGGAGTTCCCCTGGAGCCTGTGGGATGTGGAACAAGGGTGCCTCTCTGGGCATGGCTTGAAGAAGATACACTGTGGATCTGAGAATGGAATCTGGCTTTGGTTGAATCGAAGAGGCCAGAGGAGGCAGTGTGGGGTTAAAAAGGCAGGCGCCGACACTGAAGGGAACTAAGTTGATTTCCCAGCTCTCACCACTTACTAAGTAGCTGTGTGGCCCTGAATGTCTCTATCTCTCTTGGTCCCAGTTTCTCCCTGTGCAAAATGAGGAGAGTGTCCTTCTCGTGGGGTTGCCATGAATACTGAAAGCAGACCTGAAAGCAGACCATACATGTAGGGTCTAGCACGGCTCCTGGCACGCGGCGAGGACAGCTGCTGTTATTCAGAGCCTGGGAAGGAGCCTGTGCATCGTCCAGCAGCCAAAACTACCGCCACCCTGGCTGTTTCCGGGGCAGGCTGCACCCGGACTCCCTGCCCCGACCGCGCACACACCTCTGACTCTGGCAGATGGACAGGTACAAGTAAAGGAAGGACAGCACAGCCAGGTGCTCGTGGTCGGCACAGTCCTCGGGGAAGCCCGCCACCTCCTTCAGCTTCTCCATTTGCTCCGGGGTGAGTGCTGTGACGTCACCTTGCTCTGTCACATGGGCAAACAAGTGCAAGCGGGTGGGTGAGAGGGCCTCGGGGCTTTTATAGACACCAGAATACAAAAGGCCGAGCAATCACGGGAGTCAGCATCTGGATGGACATGGACTCAGGGTCCAGCACCACAGCTGAGGGTGTCAGGGGACTGCAGGCTTGGGAGGCAGGCAGACTTGGGTTTGGGCCCTGATTGTGCCAGTTACTGTGACCTTGAGTAGGTGACTTAATCTATTTGCACCTCAGTTTCCCTCCTTGGTAAACAGAGATAACAGCAGTACATCCTCCCAGGGTTGTTTAAATAAGGTACAGGGTATCCTTAGCACTGCTCCTGGCATACAGTAAGGGCTTAATTGCTAGTAGTTTTCAAATACACACAAGCACACACACACACGCACACACAATCAAAGGCCTAGGACTGAACTCCACGGTACAAAATCAAAACCAAAGGCAGTATTATTTCCCTCTCCCAAAACATAATTAGTGAGAACAGGACACACACATAAAACCAGGACACATAAATGCCCAAATGTTCACTATGTTTAGGACTATTAGGAGGGAACAAAAAACACTGGAAGAAAAATGTGGCAGACCCTGGCAACCTAGTAGAAAACTTGACACCAAAAAGTTCAGATCCCCTTTGTCTCCTTGGAGAAGTAGCCTAACGAGCCCTCACGAACGACTACACTCCATATCACAGCCTCCACCCACCTCCCACCCTGTGGGATCATCATAGCAACCCTCCCAGGCATCATGACTCTGCTCACAGGGCCTCAGAGAGGTAAGTGACCCTCCCAGGCTCACACAGGGAGTCTCAGACAGGTGGTCTGAGACGTGTGCCACTATACCTGGCTGCTCAATCCGTGCTACTGACATACAAAAGTAGCAGCCAGTTCTCACTGAACGTTTCCGGCCAGGCTGAGTGGCCTGGGGTAGCACGGAGAGCAAGGGCCAGGTTGCTCCAAAGTAGTGACTCTGAATTGAGGCTGTCCCTGCAATCACCCAAATACACACGCTGGGTCACCTACCACCACCACCGATTCTCAATAGGAGAGGGGCAGGGCCAGGAAGCCATCTGTACTGTTAAAACAACAACAACAAAAACCTCCCCCGGGGATCTCAAGGCAGAACTGAGGCTTGCTTGAAATTGTGGGTTTTCAACTCTTCCTTCATCTCCCTGCAGGGTTTGGGAGTGGCTGAGTAACTAGCTGTGGACTGATTCTCATGGGGTACAGGGAACCGTCTGGAAAAGGCTCCTAGAGCTTCCCTGGTGGCACAGTGGTTAAGAATCCACCTGCCAACGCAGGGGACACGGGTTCGAGCCCTGGTCTGGGAGGATCCCACATGCCGCGGAGCAACTAAGCCCGTGTACCACAACTACTGAGCCTGCGCTCTAGAGCCCGCAAGCCACAACTACTGAAGCCGGAGTGCCTAGAGCCCGTGCTCCGCAACAAGAGAAGCCACCGCAACGAGAAGCCCGCGCGCCGCAATCAGGAGCAGCCCCCGCTCGCCGCAACTAGAGAAAGCCCGCGCACAGCAACGAAGACCCAACGCAGCCAAATATAATTAATTAATTAATTAATTATTTTTTAAAAAAGAAAGGCTCCTGGAGGAGTCTCACTTGCCCCATCCTGGCTGGGAGACACTGTTCCAAAGGATGAGGTGTCAGCCCAGACAGGAGGCACTGAGAGCGAGGAACACACCGCAGCTTTGCTGCAGACAGCCACTCCGCTGATGAACGAACTGTGTCTGCTCAGGAGTGGACAAAACAGTCCCAACACTAGCAAAAATGAGCACGGAGGCCTTTATTTATTGGCATGGGAAGAGAGCCCCAATATCTCGAAGAAGGCAAAAATCCCACATGCTTCTAAGAAGTTTATACGGAAAAAAAAATAGAAGAAAAAGAAAACAGAAAAAGAAAGAAACAAAAAGAAGGAAAAAGAAAGAGAAAAGAAAAAGAAAGTTTATGTGGCTTGATCCAATTTTGGGTAAAAAACAAGCTCTCTCCCGATCTCAATCAATCAAACTACTAGTCTACAGGAAATTACCCAGAAGGATGAACACCAAAATGCTTAGCGTTGTCTTGGGGGGGGTGGACTGGGAGTCAGTGATAATTGGGGATATTTTTTCCTGGCAACATCTCAGCATTGACCGTATTTTCCAGTAACATAAGTTACTTTTATTTTTAATGATCTTCAATCACACAAAACACCAAAACATTCTCTTTGTTAAAACAACATTGTAGAAGGGAGGTTCCCTTTGTCCACTCCCCGACCGAAGGACCCTCCAAGACATAACTAATCACCATTGTCAGTGGATATATATCTTCCCAGGCCTCTTCTCTGCATTTACATACCCACTGATACTTAATCTATATGTGCTGTTTTGCATCTTGTGTTTTTTCACTCAACAGTAGGCCCTGATGACCTGTCCCAACGGTTCACATAGACCCAGTGCATCACTTTATGCTTTTAAATTTAAAAAATATTAATAAATAAGTGAAGCTATTTTTGTGGGGACAGGAGAGAAAACACCCCCAAAGTGGCTGGCTTTTGGTCCCTTGGGGACAGCCTGGGCTGACAGCCCAGCTGTCCTCCTTCCCCTTCTCTTCGGGGCCCAGGCTCTTCCCGCACCTGGTTCCTGCTCCCTGCACTTACTCAGAAAGCTGGTGTCCAGCATCTGAAGCTTGGCCACATCCCAGACCCGCTGGATGCCAATGTTGGGTAAGTTGAGGCCCACTTTCCCATTGCTGTGGGGCTGAAGCCGGAGGAATGTTCTCAAGTTCAAGGCCACAGCCAGTGCTACCTATAGAATGAAGGGCACAAGCAGTTAGCCTGAGCGTGGTTGGCAACAAGCATGGCTCCTGTCTTAGGAAAAAGGGGCCCTTGTCAATGAGCCGAGAAGAGAGGGCAAATACAAGCACACAGGCTACTCTCACCTATGCCCTTGGCAGACACTGCTAATCAACCTTGGCACCCTCTCCCACGCGCCTAGGCACAGCCACTACCAGTCAATCAGGAGTTAATACCTACTTACATTTGCCCTCCCCACGTAAAACTTCACACGTTCTCAACACCAAGGAATGGCTTCCCCATAATCACCATGCTTTCAAAGATAAATATAAGTTAAAAATATGAAAAACGACAGCTTGAAAGAGTGGAAAAAGCATGGCTTTGGGTTCAAGCAGACTTAGGTTCACTCCTAGCTCTACCGAGGTGTACGGGACCTTGATCAAGTTACCAATCCCCTCCTAAGTCCCAGCTTCCACGTCTGCAAAATAGGATAATAAAAGTTTAACATCAGAGGGTAGTTGTAAGAGGTAAATGAGACAATGCGTGTCTCAGGCTCCTTTGCAGAATCCTACTCGTTTTCCCCAGAGTTTAGTCCTTAAAACTCTTCTCTTCTCCACCGAAGCTCACTTCCTAAGTGGCCTCATTCCACCCACGGGGCTTTCCATGTCACCTTTTTGCTCTCTTACTGGGTGGGCCAGAGAAGCCCTTCAGAGGGCCTAAGACCTGTCTTTTCTTTGCCCAGCTGGGGAGAAACTGACCTCCTCTCTGATGTACTCCCAAGCTATGCCTCAAGGCTTCCTTTCAGCTTCTTTTAAGGTTAGCATCAGGGAGAAGCAGTTCCTAATCCTCAGAGGCTCAGGGGGCCTTGTACCTTGCCATGGACCACGGCATGCTCTCCATGAAGGATGACTTTCCCTGGAGCAGACACTAGCAGGACTTCTGACAACATGGCTCCTGGGAGTCCTGAAAAGGAAAGCCAGAAAGAGGATGGAAGGTCCCCAGAACTTAGAAAATGCCTAGTTCAAGCTCACCATTATAATAAAAAAGGCAGCTACCATCAGCATTTGTTATGTGCCCAAAAAAGCAGTGCAGGGTAGCAGTCAGCTAGACACATCAAATAGATCTGGGTTCAAATCCAGCTCTTCCACTCCCCAGTGATATCATCTTAGCTAACTCACTCAAATAGCTATGAACCTCAAAAGTTACACGGGGGGGCTTCCCTGGTGGCACAGTGGTTGAGAGTCTGCCTGCCGATGCAGGGGACGCGGGTTCGTGCCCCAGTCTGGGAGGATCCCACATGCCGCGGAGCGGCTGGGCCCGTGGGCCATGGCCGCTGAGCCTGCGCGTCCGGAGCCTGTGCTCCGCAACGGGAGAGGCCACAGCGGTGAGAGGCCCGCGTACCGCAAAAAAAAAAAAAAAAAAAAAAAAGTTACACGGGGACAATAACTGTACTTACCTCAATGGGTTTTGAGAAGATTAAATTAAATAATGCAAGGGAAACACTTATGGTCTGGCACACCATAATCACTCAAATACTCATAGTTACTTATTAATGGCTCTGTTCTTGGTTCCAGCTTTTATTATTACTACTATTAAAGATAGAAATTTAAATGAAATCATGAACCGGAAGGATTCTTTTCCTGGACATTTAGGCTGTTTCTAACGTTTCACAATTACGAACAGGGTGCAGAAAACAGCTGTTATACTTTTTTTTTTTTGCACACTTAAGTCAGGCTCTCTACAAGACAGAGTCCTAGAAAGTGACTTGTTGGGCGTACGTGTGCGCGTTTTAGATTTTTATAAATAATGCAAAACTACCATCCATTTAAGGGTTTACCTCAATAGCGTGAGACCAGAACCGCACTATGCGCTAAGTATATACTACAGTGATTCCTGTTTCTTAGCGGGGGAAACTCAGGCTCGGAGTGGGGGGGGGCCTATCGCTTGTCCGAAACTCCAAATCCGGTCTGTCAGATTCCAGGTTGCCGGCTCGTCAGGACGGATTCTCAGAGTTGGGGAAACTAAGCCAGAGAAGCCGGGAGTCCGGTCCAGGGTCGTCCTGGGTCTCGGCCTCGGACTTCGCGCCACCCTGTCCCGGGACCCCGACCTCTCACCTGTCGCCACAGGGGTTCTGCTTCCCAGCTAGAGCCGCTCCGGGACTCCATCCCCAAGCTCGCGGGCGGCGGGGGGAAGAGGCCTCTTCCTTCGCTCAGCCAATCAGAGCGCGCGAACCGAGAGCCCCTTTACCAATTGGCTTGAGAGTTGGCCAATAGCTGTTGCTAACTAAGTCTTCACGGGTTTCCCCGCCCAACTCCTTCCGTAAACCAATGAGAAACAAGTCTCTGGGAGTGTCCCGCCCTGGGGAGAGAGCCACGGACCAATGGAAGATGGCGGCTGATGGGTGGTGCGGCCGGAGGTAGGTGGAGTCACCCCGGGGTCTGGACGGGAGCCTGGCAGGGTCAGTCCCCTACCAGATCCTTGGACCATGGCTGTGTGGGGCCTGGGAGGTCGCCTTGGCTTGCGCGGGTGCCTCGGCGCCCGCAAGCTATTGTGTCCCCGTTTCCAGAGCCGCGGCCCCCAGGGCGTGGAAGACGGGGACAGGTGAGTACCTGGCTGGGAGGGTAACTCAGGCACCTGCCCTGAGTTATGTTGTCGCCATGGTTACGTCAAACCGCTGGGAGGTCACCGCAGCAATCGCCAGGTGACGTCCTCTTTAGTCGTGACGTCACCGTGGCAACGTGGGCTCCGTGGAAGCCAGAGACCAAGGTTTCTTGGCGCAAGACAAGTCCAAACGAAGCCCAGCATCCATCAGGACAGGGCATATCCCATGTGAGCCAAGAGGGTCATCTTGCCTGGCCTCACAATCAGGAGGGGCCTCGATTCGGATATTAACCTCTCTCCAAAGCAGTTTATACTTTAAGGCACAGAGATACACCAATACGGTCTCAAGATGGCTATCATCATATACCTTGAAACTTGCACCCCGTTTCCGGACCTCAGAACCTGACTTAATAATGGATTAATCTATTTCACAGATCCAGTAATTTAACCTTTGAATAACCTTTTAATGTCACATTTTAATGTTGAAGTCTTTATTAAAGGTGTTGCTATTTGAAAATGCCAGTTTTCGAACCCTGTTTTGGCAATTCTCCATTTCGGAGTATACATGAAGCTTTACAGTATGGTAATGGCCCAGGGATTTTTCCCTCCAAGAGTCCCTGGCTTGGTAGAGCAGAGGTAACAGTTTTGGGGTGTCGATAGTCTTGGGCAAGAATCCCAGCCCTACCGTTTCTTCCCGTGGTGACCTAGGAGGAAGAGTCTCATCCCGTCAGCTACAGATTCCTCAAAAACAAAATGAACGGGCTTCCCTGGTGGCGCAGTGGTTGAAAGTACGCCTGCCGATGCAGGGAACGCGGGTTCGTGCCCCCGTCCGGGAAGATCCCATGCCGTGGAGAGGCTGGGCCCGTGAGCCATGGCCGCTGGGCCTGCACGTCTGGAGCCTGTGCTCCGCAATGGGAGAGGCCACAACAGTGAGAGGCCCGCATACCGCAAAAAAAAAAAAAAATGAACATCATAGGTAGTGCTTGGGAAGATTCCAGGGATAATTCAAGGAGATAATGCCTGTAATTCACTTAGCACAGTGCAGAGACTATGGAAAGTGATCGATAAATTCTTTCAGCCAATATTTATAGAGCGTCTGCATTGAGCAGTGCACTACATCAGCTATTCTGCAGATGCGGGTGTGGCAAGACATAGAACTTGCCCACAAAGGGCTTAAAACTAAGAGGAACGAAGGGGAAAGATTTCAAGAGATCCAAGCAGAAGGGGGTAAGTGCTGCCTCTGAGGATATGGGTAGCAAACTGTGACCCACTGAAGGACGTGCCCCAGTATATACGCCATCCTCACTCATCGTCTCTTTATGTTTATTTCTCCTTAGGCCACAGCCTTCCTCGAAGACACCCAAGCTCCCCAAGATCTACACCAAAACAGGAGACAAAGGTAGGGTGGGGACAGGTGAAAAATGCAAAGAAAGACATGGCAGATTCCATCTTAAAGTTCTTCCAAATTCTAGGACTTCCCTGGCAGTCCAGTGGTTAAGACTCCACGCTTCTACTGCAGGGGGCATGGGTTCGATCCTTGGTCAGGGAACTAAGATCCTGTATGCCACGCGGCACTAGAAATTGATGGAAAATTCTGGAATGAGAATTAAATAAATAATAGCTTTAAAATATATTTTTTAAAGTTCTTCCAAATTGTTTGCAGACGTTAAAAGTATGTGACAGATCTCAATAGGCGTCACCCAAATATGATGTGAAATGAAAGATGCCCAAGATATATTAAGTGATAAAAGCAAGCTGCAGAACAATCCAAATAGTTGGAATCCATTGGATAAAAGTGTGTGTGTATATTTATATGTGTGTTCAGGTGTGCATAGAACATTGTGAAAGGTTATACCTTGGACTGTTACCTGGGAGAGAGATTGAATTGTGGGAGAGGGGAATAAATAGACGGGCTTTCATTGTTTCCTGTACATACTTTTATTCTATTATTTATTTTGTAATGAGCATATATTGCTTTGATAATTTAAAAAAATGCCAGAACATGATGTACAGAAAAAAAAAGATGCAGAAGAACATATCAGTATGATACCATTTTCTAAAGTTTTAAACCACGCATGGACTTCCCTGGCGGTCCAGTGGTTAGAACTTGGCGCTTCCACTGCAGGGGGCGCGGGTCTGATCCCTGGTTGGGGAACTAAGATCCCGCATGCTGCGTGGCATGGCCCCCCCCACCAAAAAAAAAACCACGCAGATTACCAGTATTTATTGCTTTGGGGGTATATTTATGTAGTAAGAAGATAAAAACATTCATAGATGTACTTAATGCCATTGTACACTTAAAAATGGTTAAAATGGCCAATTTTACATTATGTTTATGTTATCACGATAAGAAAAGAAAAGATGCAAAGGGATGACAGTGTTGATGCCCTCCAGCCAAAGACTCCAGGGACGGAATTCCCTGGCAGTCCAGTTAGGACTCCACGCTCTCACTGCCAAGGACCTGGGTTCAGTCCCGGGTCGGGAAACTAATATCCCACAAGCCAAGCAGCGCAGCCAAAAATAAATAAATAAATAAATAAAGTATATCAGGGAAGAAGTGAGGACAGTGGTTACCCCTGGGGAGGGGGGCAGTGACTGAAAGCGGGGACACGGGGGCCTCTAGGGTGAGGCTCCTGTTTTATTCCTTGATCTAGATGCTGATCACAGAGGTCTGCTTCAGTTAGTAACAATTCATCAACTTGTACACTTATGATTCGAGCACTTTTCTGTGTATGTTATCCTTCAAGTAGAAAAATGCTTTAAAAGAGCATATCAGGAAACAAAACTCTTTAATTTGGGCAGCAAAACATTTTCACAGGGTTTTCCAGCACCTTCACCGGAGAAAGGAGACCGAAAGACGACCAGGTGTTTGAAGCCGTGGGAACTACAGATGAATTAAGTTCAGCCATTGGGTAAGGGGGACGGGATTGGCCTTGAGGTCGGGCTTGAGTTGGTTGTTAGAGGGCATGACTGATGTGCAGCTCTCCAGAGTGCCCGCCAGTCCCAGAGGCTGCCAGCCCTCGATAAACCTTCCTTGGCCTGTGGCTTCCGTCCCTCACCGCGTGATGCTGCCTCGCCCCTCCATCCCTGCTCCCTCACTCTGCTTGTATGTGTGTGCCATTGAGGTGCACGTGCAAAGTGACAGGTGAGTCGAGCACAGTACACAGGGCATCAGACATGATCCCTTTCGGGAGGCTTATTTTTTAAGCATATACACAGCCAGAGTTTAGAAGGTGGACTCAGGGAAGTAGTCAGGATTGGCCGGGCCATGCTGGTGTAACAAACAACCCCCACATTTCGTGGCTTAAACCACCAAAGGCGTATTTCATCGTCTCACTGCAAGCCCATCGTGGGTTGCGTATGTTTCTTCTCTGCCTGGCCTTCACTCTGGGACCCGGGCTGGTGGGACAGCCTCTGTCTAGAACAACACCAGTAATTGTGGCAGAGGGAAAAAAGCCCACAGTGATGCCCACGCTGGCTCTTAAAGCTTCCACGAAGTGACACGCCACCTCTGCTCACATTTCATTGGCCAGAGCCAGGGACGTGGACACATGTGACAGCAGCAGGGGTGGGAGGGGCCGCCAATATTTGAGAACAAAGTTCGGGCCACCATGCTCAGCAAGCCGTTGGCAGCATGAGCTGCAGTTATTATAAGTACTAGTTCACAAGTTCTGACTCGGCCTTGTGGGTGAAGATCATGGTAATCAGACAGACCTGGGTTCAAATTCTCTCCCACTGCTGACTGGCTGTGTGACTTCAGGCAAATCACCTGGCCTCTCTGAGCCTCAGTTTCCTATTCTGTCAAGTGATCCTAGTAATAGTATCCAATCTCATTGGGTTCTTGTGAGGATGTAATGAGAGAACTCCATGTTTCCCCCTTAGGACAGTACCTAGCACCAATCATAATGCTAGCTATTATTATCATCATAATTATTAAAACTTACCTGTTCATGGTGGCCATTTCTCAGTGATGGGCCTAAGTGAGGTTCTCAGGAAAGATAATGTAGCTAGTCTGCCAGCAGAGGAGAGAGGGCAGACCCCCTGGTGTGTGGGGGAAGGGTGTGGCGAGGGGGAAGTGCACACAAGATGAAGTGGGCAGAGGGGCAGGAAGGCGGGTTCTAGCATCGGCTGTTTAGAATTAGCAAATCAGCAGGCCATCATCCCTCAGGTGATGTGGTGCAGGGGCCTGGCCACAGCTCAGCTGTGGATTCTTCCGTCCTCAGATGTTGGCGGAGCATCTGCGTGTGCCAGGCTCTGCTGAGTGGGGAGCCTCAGCCCTGCCTTCATGGAGCCTGCGGTCTGCGGGTGCGGTGCAGCGGGCGGGGCGGAGCAGACAGACGCTGGAGGGGCAGCCACAAGTGGTGGGAGCGGGGATGGAGCGAGCATGGGGAGGGGCCTCCCACTGGCCTCTGTCGTGGGAACATCCTCGGTGAGCAGATATTCCCAAGCATCTCCAATGTGCCAGGCTTGAGGCATACGCCCCCGCCTCACCATCCAGAGGGGAAGACCAACGCGGGACAGCTTACATGTGTGCTTATTTAGTTCTGATTGTAAGATGGGCTAGAAGATGCACAGTAGTTCTTCTTTTGCCCTTTCAAAGCCATTCTCCTGTGCCTGTGAGGCTGGCC